TATGTAAAAAATTTTAAATAAGAATATTAAATTTAAAAACTTTTTTTATTGAGGAAATATTAATTAAGCAGAAGAAATAATTTGTGTCCTAAATAAGTCTTCTTAAAAATTAAAAAATATTAGATAACTTTTTAGCTAAGTTCTATATCTCTTAAATTATTGAGGAATAATTTTGATCAAATAAATTTATGCTCGAATTTAAGCTCTTCACGAAAATTAGAAAGTATTAATAATAAATTTTTAGCTGTTTTATATTAGCATTGTTGAACGGCCCAATTAAGATTATAACCAAAATTATATTTTGTAAGCCTGTAGATTTTACACATATATGGCAGGGTTTTTACCTCTATTTGCCAAATCTCCAATCTTGCATAATATTAATTTGGCTAAAATCTTAATCAGGCCGTCCAAAACATCACTATTTTATATATCTCTTATATTATTCAAGAATTTGTTGATTAGACCATAATTACTTCTTATATTATTAATGTTTGAATCTTTGAATTATAGAAAAGTATTTTAAATAAAAAATATTATAAAAAAATAATACAATAGCAACAACCAAAAATGATTTATATTTTAATTTCTATACCTAAAAAATAAATTCTCATCATGTACATAAAAAAATTTATAAACAAAAAATAAAATATTATTTGAAAAAAAAACATGATCTAACTTTGTCTGTTTATAAAATAAATAAAAAATATAAAAAATGTATCAGACAGGATTTTGCAAAAAAAATAATTATATAAAATAGTTAAAATTAAATTTTATCCATGGCCTTTATTTCATTTTTTCTGGAATTATTTAGAAGGGTAAATAAATGAGAAAGCAGTTTATTTTAGCTCGCTATAACACCTGGTTCTTGAGATATAGGGGCTCAAATCTGTAAAATTTTTAAAATGCTTATATCTCAAAAACTAATTATATATCATATTGTAAGTAAAAATATTCTCTAAAGGGCTATCAAAAAATAATAAAAATTGTAAATTGAGTCTAGCATTCGGTTTACCTATAATGCTTTAGTTGTATTTTTAAGCAAAAAAGGGAGTTTGTTTTCAATGATATAATAAAATATATACTTATTAAATAATGTGAACAGGATTTCCATTAGTGTTAAACGGCTCTTTTTGAGCCGATTTTTAAAAAAAGCTAAATCAATATTTTAACCAGAAAACAATTGTCTAAGCATCGAGTTTTCGATAATAGATGTCTAAACCTTTGTGCCATCTATCCGGATCTGGACCTTGGGTCTGAACGCCGGGTCTGTGCTCGGGGTTCGTGCTCAGAGCTGGTTTTGTGGATATTTTAGACCCAAACACCGGATCTGGGCTCTACACAACCAACCAATTAACAACACTACTTATGCAGGCAAAAATAATTTTATATGTAAATAGGAAAATATCAAGTGCAGAAAAGGCTAATTTTATGTAATATTAAAGAACTTTTCATTCACTTTAGAGAGACTCATAACGATATACAGTTAGGTCTGAGTAGATTTGCTTTCTTACGAACTAAAAACTGTGTTTTAGCAGGTGGTCCAGGTACACATTACATTAAAATTTTAAGCTTATTTTAATAGGTGGAAAATTAAAACAGCTAACAAACAGTATTGGTCATTATAATTATCCTGTGTAAAAACAGAACAAATAAATTAATTAATAATAACTAATTTGAAATATTCGTCCTCTAGTCGACTCAATTATATATTTCGTATTCATGGTCAAGTTGAAAGTCTAATGTAAATAAATGTAAAAAATAGATCACAAATATCTTAATTAAAAAAATTTGAAATATTCGTCCTCTAGTCGACTCACGTTTATATCATATAAGTATAACTATTCGTCCTCTAGTCGACTCAAGTATATATTTTGTATTCATAACTCAAATTGGAAGTCTAAAGTAAATAAATGTAAAAAACAGAACAAATATCTTAATAAATAAAAACTAATTTGAAATATTCGCCCTCTAGTCGACTCAAGTTCATAGAAAACTATTTGTCCTCTAGTCGACTCAAGTATATAATTCCTATTTGCAAGTCAAGTTGGAAGTCTAAAATAAAAAAAAGTAATAAACAACAAATATCTTAATTAATAATAACTAATTTGAAATATTCGTCCTCTAGTCGAATCAAGTTTATAGAACTATTCATCCTCTAGTTGACTAAAGTATATAATTCCTATTTAAATCTCAAGTTGGAAGTCTAAAATAAAAAAATGTAAAAACAGAACAAATCTTATTATTAATAATTAATTTGAAATATTCGTCCTCTAGTCGACGACTCAAGTTTATAAAAATATTTGTCCTCTAGTTGACTCAAGTATATAGACTGAGTTCACGACTTGAGTCGACTTGTTCACGACTTGAGTTCACGACTTGAGTCGACTTGTTCACGACTTGAGTTCACGACTCGAGTTCATAACTCAAGTCAGTTTGGGTCGATTTTTTCGACCCAAAACTTAGACTCAGTTTTCGACTAATTCGACTCGACTCAGTCGAAGTAAAAGCATTCACAAGGTTACCCAGAATTTTTCCTGATTTGGCGGCTGACGTCTTTAATTTTTTTTAGTCAAATCCCCATATGTCGTTAAACTGGAGCAAATGATTGGCATGAATATGTAATTAGAATAATCAGTGCTGTATTTCGTTATCTTAAAATTTTGCGATATATTCAGAGCGTCTTTGTTAAAATTAGAAGGAGAGTTCATGACGAGACAAGAAAAATCCCATATTAAAAACTTTCCTTCTTATCATGAAATTCGTGTGATTCCATCAGGACGCCTACCATCGAGAAAGAGATCAGAAGGTTCCAGTGAGGTAGGAAAACCAGTTGACCTAAGTATAGGAGATATGATTTGATCGCACCTCAAATATTTGCCGACCGGGATTACGATTGCAATGCAAAGAATGCAGCGTCATATTGTCATCATCTGTATGACATATGCTGCATCTTGGTAATGAGAGTGAATGTTGAGCCTGTTACATAGAGAATAGCGAAGCTCAGGTTATCCAATTCAAGTTTAGATTACTAGATGGAATGACATCTAAAAATTCATATCGCCGATCCTTTATCATAAGTTCAAAGTGAAAGACTCGAAATAAGGTAATCGACAGAGTTTTTCATAAGTGGTAGATCACAATTAGTGTTGTTGAACGACTTGATTTAAACCGATTTTTAAAAACGGCGAACTAAATATTTTAGCCAGAAAAAAATTGTCTAAGCCTCGAGATTTCGTTATAGATGTTCAAACCTTGGCCACCTATGAGCAATATCTTAAGACTTGCATGATATTTTTCCTAATAAAATATTGAGTTAGCCGTTTTTAAAAATCGGCTCAAAATGAACCGTTTAACAACACTAATCCCAATCCTTCTGTTTCACAGATTTCGGAAATATGATTGTAGTTGTGACGGATTTTGACTACTCCGTCCTAGCGATATTAAAAAATGGATCGAGAACTAACAGATGTTGGTCAATTAATCTACGTGCATGTAGGTGGCTAGCAATTAACGCACAAATTTAAATCAACAGTGGGGATCTTATACAAGATCGCCATGTATGGAAGGAAGTGTGGCTTGATACCAAGCTGTGTCGGTGAACTATGTTTAAGTAGTTACTAAAAAAGACTTTTATCCTGGTTTCGAATCTCACTAGATGCACCCTCTCTAAAAATATTAATCGGAATGTAAGGAGTAAAGGATTTTAGAAAAAAAAATTATAATTTAGGAAAAAGGCCTTGTAAGCCGAGACAGGAAAGCATGTATTTAAAATTTTTAAAAATATCGTCCATATTGCTAAAAAAAAGAGATTTTACTGACTCCTTACGAATGGGAGAGCCCAAATGAGATAAATTTTTCAAGGAGGCATGCTTAAAATAAATCAAAAACATTAAATGGAATCGTATTGATTGATATTAGGTTTTGGTTTGGTTAATTACAAGTCCAAGGCTGTCAGTGAAGGATTTATGTCCAGGTTATTTATTTTATTATCGATTAGATTCACTTTAAATTTTAAATCATCCTGTTTTTTGTTGCAGGGGTGAATTATGATATCATGGGGTTCATGATTAATATTAGAAGGTGCTAGTTTAATATTCCAGTGCAAAATTTACCATTCACAACAGGAATTTAGAAAGGTGTAGCTGAATAAAAGAAAAACTGACCATACATCCTTAGAATAGGAGTTTTTAACAACCTATCAATATAGAGGGAACAGAGCCAGAAAGTGGGCAACTTTGTCCATTCACACTATGGGCCCTTAAACGGCCATTCCCAAGTATCAAAATAGAGTTTCAGCACTGAGAACAGAAACTCCCTATCCAAAATAATATGTGGATACTATTGCATATAACAATCTGATAAAATTCAAACCGAACCATTTATCACTAGGTATAATAATATATCGAAAATGCGTAAAATAATTGTATTCATAAGTTAGATACCCTTTAGGCCAATATTGATACATTTAAAATGTATCTTTTAACTACTCTGTTAATTAGATAATTTTTTATAAAGATAGTATGGCTATCGACTGCTACTTAAAAGGCATAGCACGATAAAGCCCTGCGAAGTCTGGCTCGGGTCTAAAAATTAAAAATCGGGACAAGCTTGAAAAATATTTTACAAAAATCACATAAATTATATAGAAAATTATTTGTTTTATCAAGTATAATATAACAATTTTTATGTCAGAGATTTTAATTTCATAAAAATAGGTTCAATTTATATTTTTAATTAAAAATTTCAGGCCGGACTCGGGTCTAAAATAAAATTAAAAATTCGGGCCTGACCAAAAATAAAAATTCCCGAGTTGAAAAAAAATGAATTTACAGTGCTTCAAGCGGAATAATTCAATTACTACCAAAGCATCAGTGGCTAAAATATATATAAAAGCTTAAGATATCATTTTCAAACTTTCATTTTACTTTGGTGACTGGTTTGCATACAAAACGTTTGCATTCAAAAGTATAATTATCATAATATTTATTATCCAATATAACCTGTTCTTGGTCAGTGAGGTCGTCGGCTAATTTGCTTTTAAGTTTCATTAGATTTATCTTAGTGGAAAGGGTGATATTCGCCGAACCAGTATAACTGATTAGGAATTGCCACCAGACACCTATTCATAATTAATATACATTTTATATAATAATACAATAAAAGTAATATATTCAAACTCATTTTTTTGGATTGGCAGGGACCACCCTAAAATTGTCAAGATAAGGAGGTAGTAACTAGTGTTGTTAAAAGTTACTTTTGACAGATAACTAGTTATAAGTTACATTTTAAAATATATTTAAAAAAATTAATAAGTTACCATTATATTTAAAAGTAACTAGAAATACATTTTAAATATGGAAATAAATGAACTGAAAAAAAGATACCATAATATAACATATTTTTTATAATAATTGGGACTAAATAAATATTCGACATAAATTATTTTCAAAATTTGTAGTTTAAAAGATATGCTTTCGTTTCTCAAAAAATAAGCACCTCTTAGACTAACAAACGCTCTACATTATACTACATGCTCCGGTTTAAAAACAAAAAAACCAAAACGTGTATGTTACATGTTAAAATTAAACATTACATTACGTGAAGGAAGGATATTAATTAGTAATCATGATGAAATTAGAAGTGGTAATGAGGGAAGGATATTAATTAGTAATCATGATGAAATTAGAAGTGGTAACTTGCGAGGGTTATAATAAGTTTTTGATCACAATAATTTATATTCAATGTATATGAAAAAGCAAATATGTTATATCAAGTTAATCAAAAATAAAAAGTTAATCGAAAAGTAAAAAATATAAACAAACTTAAATATTATAATCGTATAGATTTAGTTGTAAATTTTCCAGCTAATTTTGATTGTCAGTATATTTAAAATATGGTTAAAAAAAAATAAGGAAATTATACAAGAATCTCGAAGAAAATAAGATATATACTGTTATATGTAAAATTTTACCAAAAATACAATGATAATTTCAAATCGGATCTATTTTTTAAATATCCGATCTCGATGAATATTAAAAAAAACTGTATCTTTTGTCAAGAAAATAAAAATGAAAAAGATACAAGATTCTTTTCAGAATAAAGAATCTTAGATACAGATACTAGTATCTTATTAAAAATGTCAAAAAGATACTGAGTACAAGATACATGTATCTTAGATACAAGTATTCGCGGTACTGCCCAACTCTGGTTATAAACAATAAAATGAAAACTATGACACAATTTAAGTGTGAAATGAGCCAAACTTTTCGAAACACTAATTTTATATAACAAACAATTAGTTAGTGATTAATTAGGAAATTCTATTGCCTTAAAATGTTTGAGTTAAAGGTGAAAAAATATTACTGATAAAAAAATTGCCAAAATTAGCATCATACCTTATAAGGGAGGATAAAGAAGTTCAAAATATGTGGGTTGTGTTAATATTTAGTGACTTATTAATTCTTCAATAGTTTTATCAAACACAAAAAAGTAACCGAGTTATAATTCAAATATAAACATCACCCTTATAGCTGAAGTCAACCAAAGATATAAAAACAAGATAACTCTTATTATATTAGAATATTAAATTATCATTTATAAAATTTTACCTACAAAATGGATTCAAAAAATTGAAAAGAAAAGAGCGAATAAAATGATATTTTTATTTTATTTTTCATGAATTTTTTTTATAAAATATATTATTTTAAGAAATTATTTTTTTTATTTAGTTACCTTGAACCCTCGATTTACAATTTATTATCTATACAAAACTGTTTTGACATTAGATTAGGTTCAGAACCATTCTGGTGTTTACGTGTATTACTATTTTATTTAAAATAATCAAGTTGATTAAATTATTAATATATAGATATTAATCTCAACTTAAATCAATTTTTCTTATATATAATATTCCATATGAAGTTGTTATTACCGTATTTAGCCCTATAATCCTCATATATTCAATAATGATAATTGTATGCTATTTGACTGAACCCATCATATTACTTACAACCTTACTAGATTCCGAAACTTTGTCATTAAATACAATATAGTCTAGATTATGTACAATCAACTAATTATATCGTTTTCCCCCGATATGATTTTATCTGATAATAAAAATCTTAAGAAATAGCTAAAATAGGAGTCTGTTAGTTTTGATAGAATCTGTAGGGATTAACTTGGGTTTGATTTGGTAGAATTAGGTTAGATTAGACCGAATAGACTATGTTGGTAGTAATTTAAACACAGGTTAATAGATAGTGATTATATTGAAGTAAATTCGAATTTTGCAGTAAAAATAACATTTCGAAGCGATAATTTTTTTATAGCGAATTCGCAAAATAAATATTATATGAGAATAAAAAAATACCAAAGTGGTGAAATAATGTAACATAAAAAAATCTCGTGTTAAATAAAAATCAATTAACAATATAAAATAATAAAAAAAAACAATTTTAGTGTAATATTATAAATTTGCGAACTATATTACAACAGAATCAATCTTTCCTCATCCAAATTTTATTTAAAAAATAAGGAGAAAAAAATAGGCAATGGGCTTTAACATTCTCTTCCTTTAAAAAGAAAGCCCAAAAAAGGCTAAGAATAAAAAAAACCAAAATCTTAAAAAAAATTGTTTGATTTGTCATTATAAATTTAATAATAACGAGAATTGACAAATGTAATATTTAGGCTCATGAAACTTTTTATAATTTCAACCCCTTAAAATGTAATATTGTCTAGAAATAAAATAAAACCGCTTTTCCTAAAAAATCATGAATTAAAAAGGGTTCAATTTAGCCCTAATAAATAGATCTTCTGACCCAGGGCATGGCTAAAATTGTCCTGGGAAACTATCTGTAAATCTCGATTTCCAAATAAGGTATATATTAGTTTTCCCCATTAAACCAATAATAGTTAGAGTTAGACCTGTGCGTAGCCAATACGCCGCCACCGGTGATTTTGACTACGCCGACGTCACCGCCAAAAAGTGTCGGTGCTCAACACGCTGCCGCCGATGTAAAAATCCTGCGGAATGGTATTTTGTATATAGTTAAAAGTTATATTTGGAGTTTCAATGATTTGATCTTTCATAATTTTTGTAGGAAATTTTAATTAATACTTTATATTTTTTGCTATAATAACATATATAAGAATAGCAGGACTAAAACATTTATAATGGATGTAGCATTATAAATCCTGTAACGAAATAATACAGTATATCCTTGCAAGCAATTCTTTTGCATGGAAATATTTTGGATCCTTAATATTAAAAACTGACACAAATAATAAGAGAACCATGGTTGCGGCAGATAGTCTTTTGTAATATATGCTTGCAAATAACACTTGATAAAGATGATGAGGATAAAAATAATTATTCATTTTCAGAGTAAATTTTTGATCATTTTTAAAATATTTGTGAATTTTTATAATTAGTCATCCAATCAAAGTCTCTTTTTTAAAAACATGACATATCATGTAAGGAAGACAAACAAAATTTAAAATTATTTTTCAAACCAATTGTAAAAGTTACAACTACCCACAAGTGATAAAAAAATGGATTCTGGTAAGGAATTATGTTCTCATGTGTTGTAAGAATTTAATGTAATTCTCTTCTATAAAGAATACTTGAAAAAAAAATATTCTACAAATAAGCACCTTGTTTCTTGCAAAAATTTTAAAATATAATTTATTTGAAAAATGTGATGAATGATATCATATTTAAAAATTTAAGTCCGAACCGGCCGCCGTGATTTGCAGATTTCTAGTACATAATTTTTATCTAAGCATTTCCGGTTTACAGTATTTATAGCTTACCTAGGTATTTACAGTTCAGTCATAGCCGGTTAGAAAAATTTTTTGAATATCAAAAAAAACTTAACTTTGTACTAAAATTAAATCTGATTTTAATACTATTTTTGTTGAATACTGTGCCAGAAACATTAGGTATTGTTTAATTATATTATAACTAGCTAATAACCCGTCAAGAAGGGGGTTGAGGGGTAATTAGTTAGTTTGTATTTTTTTTTCTCTTTTAGCTACCTTTTCTGGTTGTCTCTTTCAATATCTCTCTCCACTTCATGTTATCTCTTTTATCTGATTTATATTCTTCATATTGGCTCTAACTTTATGGCCCCATTAAAGATTTGGCCTTCCTCTTTTACGTTTGCATATCACTTCCAAAACTCTCGACCTTATTTCATGTGTAGTTCATAGGCCTTCTCATTGTGTGCCCATACCACCTAAGTCTGTTCACCATTATCTTAGTCTTAATGGGCACTACCTTTAGACTTCCTAGTATTTTTGTACTTCGCACCTTATCCTTTCTTGTTACCCCAGCAATCATCCTCATATTCTCATCTCCATAGTTTGTAAACTTCTCTCGTCTGATTCTTTGGTTGGTTTCGGAACTATATAGAATAATTGGTTGTACTATGGAACTGTAAATTTTTCCCTTCAATTTGTGTGGGATTAGACTTTATTTTACTTTTCGCAGGATGGAGGTCTGCACCCTGCGCGTCGCTTGGAAGGAACGCCCTAGCTTTCATGTCATATTTTTGTTTCATTTCCTTCATTTTTGTTTATTGGACAAGTATCCTTAGCACCCGGCTGTCCAAGCCTATGGGTAACCAGGGTGTCATCTCTAAGCTCCGAAATTCATATATGGTACTAAATATATATACATTATAAATATATTTTATAAAAATATTAAAATTTAAGAGAAAAAGAGGTAAATTTGTGAATCACACCAGGTCAATGTCTGGTCCATAATTAACAATAAAAAAATTCACAAACATTCAAGCTGATGATAATTTTGAAAAATTTCCAAGAACATATTGTTTATTTCTCTATTGTTTGTACTGTAAATTTTATTCGTACTAAAAATTAATCCGAATCTATGGTTAGACCACGCATTACTCAAGGAACTTTTGTGGGTAATAGACCACCTCTTGACATCGCTAACCAACCGCTAGGACAGCCTCCGAACTTAGACGGCACTAATCTCGTTCTTACGCCGGATAATTCAATGGATGCTGCCCCCGTCGATCCGAGCACCCGCGCCATTATCGCGGCTATGCAGGCCATATCCGAACGCATGGCAGCCCTATCCACGCAAGTGAA